CCCAGAGGAAGAGGCCGCACCATTTTAACGATGCTCTAAAAGTCAAAGTGATAGTACTTTCTGATGTTATTATATTGATAGTTATTTTATTGCTTATGGATTCCCAGGTGATGCTACACGAGCCCTAATTTATGAAGGCATTTTTAGCTAGTTAGTTACTTAACGACATCAGGGTAATGTTTCTTCGCTTTATTGAAAGGAAAATTTTCCTTTGGCTTATTTGCTTTTTTTTTGGGTCATTTCCCTGCCTCTGACTGGGCAGCAGCTCTGTCCCTCAGTCGGATGAGTGGTGAGGGTCGCTTGTGTCTGCACTGCCTTAGAGAAGATGAATTGCTATCAAGGAGTCCAAGCTGGTAAACAGTTTTAAGGCTAGCCTAAACATTCGCAGCCAAGAATTAGTCTTTTCTTACTCAGGCAACTGGAGGAAGCTGAGCTGCTGCCAGCTCACGGGGAACTGCTGACTGCTGCTCTACTATGCTTTATGGCTCCCTGCGGGTTGTATTGTAGAACTTCAGAAACCAGCGCTGTGGTAAAGGTAACAAAGAGGCGTGGGGTATGTTGGACATATGCAAAAGAAAACAGAAGAGAGCAGGAGAGGACAGAATCAGGGAGAATCTGGAGAACAAAAAGTAAATATAATGAACAAGGAGCTGCTAGGTCAGTGGAGTGAAAATGGCGTGTGTTCATTTTTGCAGAAGCATAGGACTTCTGATATGCTCCGCTTCTGTTATGCTGCACTGTTTGGAAACTATTTATATGATTCCATCAGCTTGTGAACATATTTTAAAATTTTATATTATTTAAATGACAACACAGGCTGATTTGTCATTTTTAAAAATCTAGATTATTTAGACCATATTTTAATACAGTTCAAGTCAAGGCATAGTATCAACTTGAATAAAAAGAGGGGACGGGAATTTCCTCCCCCTTAATAATGTTTTCTAGTTGGGAGTCATGAATTAGAGATCAGAGCTTGCTGCAAAGCTGTCTTTGTTTCCTGTCTGTGCTTTTCTGTCTTTGCTTTCTTAGAGTGCTTGAAAATTAGAATTAAGTTAGGGAAAATATGCTCCCCAACTAGAGAGCGAGTAGTTGGAAGAGAGCTGCAGATGGAGTAATTGATTCTGATACTTAGCAGATTTCCAAATACATCATCTGTTGGTACTCTGGAACACTTCATAGTTTGTTTAATTTTGTTTTTAATTTCAATGTTATTGTCTTCCAGTAGTTAAGCTATGAAGCCCCAAACCACAGGTGATGATACTGCTAGTGTCCAAATGGTTTATTACTAAATGCATGCAAATGGTGGTCTGCAGTTACAAAGTGCACTGTGTTTCAAGATTGCTCGCTTGTGGTTGTTACAGGACTAACCATTTAAAAAACAGTAGGTCCCTTTTGCATGCTGTGTGATTGGACAGAACCCATTGCCATTAACAGGAACTGTGCCCTCTTTACAGCAGAGATTAATTTGGTGTGACGTGACTCTTGTTGGAGGGGACAAACAGTAAAAATGCTCTGGTTGTGATTTGGTGTCTCATGGTTGTGTTTAAATATTCAATTATAGGATTCTAAGTCAGACATGAAAAGGGTTAAGGAGTTTGCAAAGTTTGTAAAGTACATTTGAGGATGAGTAAACTTCTTTCGCTGGCCATGTGTTGACCACCTTTTGTATTGTCTGTCCATTCCATCTTATTTTGCTTGGTTGGTTGGTACGAGACGATGAGCACCTGCTGTGCGGCAAAAAGCAGGTCAGGTACCAAGCAGGTAGCTGCGCTGAGATACTTTTCTTGTGTTGTGTCTCGGTGTACTCATAGCATTGCTGAGTGCGCTGGCACACATAATAAAAGATAATACATGTGTATTTCCCTATAAGTTCACAAACACTAGTTAGAATGGTATGGAGTAATGGTGATAACTGATTAGTTATAGGATAGGTGGGTACTGTGGTAGAGAGAGCTCTGTATAGGCAATGATCCCTGTTTGGCTAGCTGTGAAGGAAACACTTGAACCCAGCAGAATAGTTCTCACGCACCAAACCAATGCACCCTGTAATGTAATGGTCCTTACTGAAAAGCCGAAGCCCGAATGTCCTTGTTGTTGGAAAGAGCTAGCTTATGTAGATGGAAGCTGGTGATATGTGAATGATCATTATGCTGTGTCAAGTCTCATTTTAAAGACCGTAAGTATACCTTTTTAAAAGAAAAACAAACTACTTCACTAGTCTAGAGGGAAACATAAATCATGTATTTTTATCACCTCAAAAGACCACTAGAAGATGAGCTCTAATATTTCAAATGCGACAAGCAATCTATACACATGAATCACAATTTGAGTTCCATTACAGCTGAGCTGATATATACCACTGTGTGCTGTATGGGTTTTACTCTAACAATATTAAGTAAAAACCCAAAGCTTTTTGTGATGGATACCTAACCTTTTACAAGAATTTGTAGAAATGTAGTCCAGAACAACAGCTTCAGCATTGCCCTACAGGCTTTAATAAGAAAATACTATTGCCAGTTCTGACCTCTCAATATTATTCTCTGTAAAGTAAATAGGTGTATTAGTGGAAGGCTAATACTGCAAGGGTAAAAGAAAGTGTGAAATACTGAAAGGGTTTATGGAAAATGCACCAAGAAAGATTGAGAAAAGTGTTAAATAAATGAGCAAAGTTTGAAGAGAGGGATCTTTTGTTCCTTCTGCTTCCTTTGCTAGGCCCAGCCTTTTTCTTCGTGGACTCAAGGATTTTTACAGCAACCCAGTGTCAGTTGTTCTCAATTCCCCTATTTATAGTCAAGTCATCACTTGAAGTCCTTAGTCTCCTTTTGAGAAATTCTTCCACAGCGATATTTTCACATAGGTTGTGCATTTTCTTTTTACCTCTGGCTATTCTCATATTTTGAGATGTGGGCCTTCCTTGCAATGAATCGAAGTTCAAATTTCTTCACCTTTGAGATCTTTAATCTGCTCGCTTCCCTTTGGCGGAAGAAAGAGGAGCAGCATTGTCCAGTGAATTCGGTGAGAAAGCTGGAGACAAGAGGGGAGCACATGAGGTTAATTTTCAGGTGAATTGGTTGCTGGTTTGACATTCTTGCTTTCTTTTCAGATATCTTTTTGTTCCTTTTCCTTTTATGCTAGAAAATTATTAGATATGCAAGAACAAAACTCCTCAAAGCGATGCTCCAAAAGCCTATTAAAAAGAGGCTGCAAGCAGAACAGTGTGAACACACGTCAACACCTGAGTGTTTCCCAAGTGGCTCTAGCACTCAGTGGTGTGATAACAAGACATGTGGGAGGATTTTTCTTGGCTTTTATCTTCCATATATTGATACTCCTGACATTTTAAAATTCATTTCGTCAAGTGGCACTGCAACAGAAACAACAGAAATGCAGCAATGAGATAGTTCAAGGTGTTTGCAGTTGTGCACAAAGTCCTTTGCCTCCAGGCCATCATTTCCAATTCAGCCCAGGTTGGCAGCAGTCAGAAATCACTGCCAGCTGACAGCTGTGTGGTGGCCAACACGGAGTGATTTAGCTAGTTGTTCCTGCTGGACAGATGTCTGTAGTATAGAAAGTGTGAGTATAGCTGGCATGTGTTTCATTTTCAGAGACTGGAAAATGTGGGTGTATCTCAACGACAGCTGCTGTGGTTTAGAGAGGTTAAACAGGATACCCGAATTCAGGCAACCAAGAACTCAGTATGGGCCTAATTAAATCCCCCACCTCTTGGGCTTAAATCCTGATGTTATGGTACTAACCCCTTGTAGCATCTCCATTGTGTCTCCATAAGCACCATGTGGTGAGGGAGAAGGGAAACTCTAGCTTGGTCTTCTCCACAAGTGGCTGCGCAGAGGGATGTGGTAGGAGACCACGCTGTGGGGTGACCAACTCATCTGTACCCCACCAGCTGAGGAGGTGCTTCGGCTGTGTTGTGAATTAATACCTTTCTGGAGCGTGAGCAATCAATAACAAGGAGAAAGCAACAGGGGTGGGGGAAAATGAGTCTGATTCATCTTTCTTTGTGTGGACATATGTAACACTAGAATTAATCTTTTGAAAACCATGAATTACTTTATGTAAAATCTGTGCTACTATGCGGAAAATCTATCCTGCTGAGAAAAAAATAGAGAGAATTCTTCAGAGTAATATCCGGTTTTGTGGGGAAGGAAGGGGGAAGATTTTACAGTTTATGATACGACAGAGCTTTGGGATATTTAAACAGGCAAGTAAATGATAGGTGTGATTCGCTACTGTGAAAACAGTTTTGAATTTTGGATTTGCAGCACAGTAGAGATTGCTCAAGCAAACAGAGATATGGGGTCAAGTTGCTGCCACTCCTAAGTCATCTTTTTTTTGCCGTTGGCATGATGTAATGCGGGTGTAAAATGGGCTTGGGTGACTGGCTTAATCTTCCGCTTGTGCGGGATGTGGAAGTGGCAGTGTGTGTTTCAGGGATAGGGCCCTGTCAGAGCACTTGGGTGAATCCGGGGGCTGGAGCGCTTGCTGAGCAACTCTGCAGGTGAATCTGCTACATCGCCCTGACAAACATTGCCATGCTGTGTCTGTCCAGTGCTGCAACTGATATCATGCTGTACAGAGTTACTACGCCTTCGTGCTTCAGTTTACTGATGAGAGAGAGTTAGGATTTTCAGTGTTGCATACTTCTGATGCTGTTTTATGTGTTTGAAAAATCTGCATCAGTTTCTGTGTTTTAACATTGTCACAGTAAAAACCCCAAATGTATGTGTTATTTTTCCCCAGTTAAAAAAATGTAGGATTTCATGAAGAACAGTGGAAGGAACCCATTACTGTGATACGGGAGTTTTAGCTCTGTTTTAAGGAATACTTTTCTACTAAATTTTCCTTGTTCTTTAATGCCAGAGTTAAACTGGATTGCCTTTGGAGTTGTAAATGGAAATGACGTTCTCTTACTCTAATACTGTGTCATGTTATCCATTTCACTAAGCCTGACTGTGACTTTCCTTGGTGGTTCTTCCCTGCAGATATTGACGAGTGCGCTGCCAAGATGCATTACTGTCACGCCAATACTGTGTGCGTTAACTTGCCTGGATCCTATCGTTGTGACTGTGTCATGGGATATGTCCGTGTGGATGATTTCTCCTGTACAGGTGAGCTCTCAGGTATACAGCAATAGTAGTAGAGTACTCTGTGTTGCGTGTATTGCCGAGCTTGCGATTAGACCCTGTGCTATGCCAAATGCCACATAGCAGCTGGTCCTCCACTGGCAGAAAATTTAGGCACAAGTGAGACAGGTAAATGGTGTATGAGGTACCTTTCCTATATATGGGCTTCTTGGAAGGTGGCTTGGGAAGCCCTGTGGAGCACACGCGGAGTGCCATTGTCATCCAGGACATGGTCCCTTCATGTCCCCCCTTTGGCTTTCATGAGAGGTGCGAAAGCTCAGAGGAGATCACATGTATAGGGAGAAGAAATACCATTTTATTACCTGTGTTTTGAAACTGGTCAGTGGATTAAGACATGAGAAATTATCCAGGAGGAGAAGCTTTCTGGATAGAGCTGATGCAAATATATAAAAGCAAAACTGAATAAGTGTTAAGTCTTCAAAATACATTGTTAGATGGTTTGGAAATTGTTATTATTAATGCTGAGAATTAATGTATCCAGGACTGTGACACATGTTATTAAGGAAAGAGAACAAGTGCAATAGCATTAGACAATAAATCCAGTGATTCTTTTTTAATACCTGTCAGCAAAATGAGCGCTAACAATTTTTAGCGGAAAGTAGGTAGGTCCTGTTTCCATCTAGAAGTTTTTAAGGAAACCTTCCCTGGCAATCTGTGGAAGCATGTGAGAAGCTGCTGAGATGCTCAGTCCATCTATGCCTAACTGGATAACATCTTTCAATCACAACCCTCCAGGAAGGCTGATCTCAGGATTATTTTAATGGTGCACCTGTCTGGCAAGGGAGGAAAATATCAGGCAGATTTATTGAAATGGAAATAAGTCAGCTTGACACAATACCATGTTTAGAATTGTGTTGGGTGAGCTGTTTTCTCAAGTGGAAAGATGGTACAGGAGTATTCAATACGAGAATGATTTCCATGCCGGAATAATTACATTATGATGTACATGTTTTCCTTAGGGAAGGTCATAGGAAATGTTGGCTTTCATGATGACAGCGTGTCTTGTAGCTGAGATTATGTAGTCTATAAAAACTGTAGGAAAGTTCTGCCCACCTCTTGCGAGAGGCTGATACTAAATAGCTGTCAGACAACTGATTTTTATTTTGCTCAAAGAGTCATTATTTCTGTATAATCTGTGTCTTTTGAGTAAACTGTTGAGTTTTGGTTGACCTTTTACAACCTGCTGTGTCAGAACAGTGTCAGACCTAAAATTTGGTACTAAATGCACGTACTGTGTGAGGCAACGGCCTTCACAGTGATGGGTAAAGTGGTTTTTTATAATCTGACACTTCCTTTTCTTATATGCACTACTAATTTCCTACTGTTCCTTTCCTTCCAGCAAGGCACTGTCATTAGGCATGCAAATGGTTTAGAAAGCAGGATATTTGTGGTTTACAGAAAAAGTGTGAAGTGGTAAGACGAGTTGCTTGATAGTGATGGGTGAACATTCATTTAAAGTGCATGCACACAAAAGGTCCAGAAACAGTATAAGAATGAAATAAAAGAATTAGTGAGATAACTGTTTCTTGCAGATTTATTATCTTGCTAAAATGACTTCTTTTTTGACATCACAGTTAAAAAGCGCAGAAAGTGTGTAATATAGATTAGGAGAAACTTGGTTTATTGCCTATTGTATCTGGAAATAATTGTGTGTTATAATAATAAATATATTTAAAATAAGTGTTGTACAATAGAAGCACTAATCCTGGTTTTGTATCTTGCATTATGTTTATATGGACTTTTCGTCTCATGAATCTTAAATAAATAAGAAAATAAAAAGAAATCAGGCAGCAAATACTTAACTAGTTCCCCCTAATGCTGGCACCAATATGTAGCAGGCACAAGCAAAATAGATTGTAGCTATTACTCAGTTTTTAAAATTAATTCCTCTTTATTCAAACAAATCTGAAGGCCGGAGATGGGTTGGCATTCTGATTGCAGCTGATTTTTGTGTGTGTGGATTCAGACTCTAATGGGTTCAAGGTAGGGGTTAACAACTTTCAAACATAAGCGCTTAAGGCATGTGCACAGCATTGTATGTATTTTCTATACTGTTGATCTAAAAGCAGAGTTATTCTACAGAGCAGGAGGTACCATGTTTTGAGAAGTCTGAGTCGAATACATCGAGGTACAAAGTCATCGTCAGCTGTGGAGCAGGTTCTGTGTGTCGCGGGGCAGGCTTGTGCTTGGTGGCCTTGGTGGCTGGGCCCTGCGCTCTGGTGGCTTTCAAAAGGTGAAAAGTGATATGTGGAAGCTGTAAGTCAGAAACACTTCTTTGAGCTAAATGAAATATTTCAATTTGATATTAAGGGTTCTGTCTTTATAAAAAGAAATGGAGTGAATATTGACATGCTGGGTCAATCTGAATTGGGCAAAAATGAATTCATTTGGATATTGCTGAATTTTAATTATGCAGCTTCCAGTGTGTTTTCTTATAACCCTGCATCTTTCTTGAAACTAATTTGTACGATTTTGGTGTTGATGAAACTTTTTTTCCCGAAACAATTTTTGAATAACATTTCCTATTTCTGGTCATGAGAACTGTGGAGTGGGAATTTCCTGTGGTTATCAGTAAGAAGCTACTGTGTTGGCAGCTGTGCTGCGTGCATAGAAAATGCAGTCACAGAGACAGAGTGACTTAAATGATACTCTAGATGAAGTCTACAATGGTATTAAATTCTGAACTATGAGTTAAAATTAAGTAGTGCCTATTTTAATAAACGATCAATATTCAGTCTAACACATGCAAAAGACTTGATGTGTTGAGGGTTCATCCCATGGTGTTTTGTGACAGGTTAGTCTGCCTAGCAATCACTTTAACCTACATTCACCAGGAAAGGTACGTTAGTGTTTTTCTGCTCACCTGTTCCTAGAGCTTTGAGCTCTGAATGTTAATTAAGTTGTTGAGTGAAAGACAATTTTATTAAGAAAAGTTACCCTTGACTAGGAAGCTTCTTTCAGTCTCTTTCTGTGACGCTGACAGGTTGTTTATCTGTTCTCAGGTAAATGACAGTCTTGCCCATTCTGAGAATGGCAGCAAGATTTGCTGCTCCAGATGCTCTCATTTACTGGAATCTACTGATTTAAAGCATTTTATTGACTTCTACAGGTTTCTACCCTGCTTGCTTAGTGAAAAATAAGTTCTCTTGGGTTGCTTTCTTCTAACATACCAGTCTGGGAGTTTGCTTCAGAAGTGCATTATTTGGTTTAATGTTTTTTTCCAAGCATTATAAATTACATAATAAAAATCCTGTAATTTTATTTTTGATGGGCTGCATCTGTTCTCTGGTATAATTTTGGAAATGCATGTATGTGTCTGATTTTCTGTAGTTAGAAATGACAGTATATAGTTTCTGTGTCCCACCGCCGTTCAATCAAGTAAACAAATGCTGTTTCATCTTAATAGACTATAGGTTATCTGTAATAATGATTCTTATATGAAGAGGGAACAGCGTAGATGGGTCTCATCTGTTTTTTGCATAGTACTGGCATTTTCTATGAAGACCATCGTGATAATCATGATAAAGATTCCTGGCTTTTAACATCTGTGATAACCATTTTAAAAAAATATACTCTCATTTTGCAATGGTTTCCTTGGGGCTGCATGAGACACTGAAAAGTTCCTAAAATCCTGCAGTCATTTGAAGAATAAGTTGTTTTTGTCTCATTTTGTGTAGTTACTATTGGCTTGGATGCTCTGTTTTGGGGTTTTATTTTTTTTATTTCCTACAATTATTCACTAATTATGCACTAAAGTTTAAAAAAGGCCTTTACAAATTAGAGTGCCAGGAGATGTTTATTCATCTATTTGCACGTATTACTGGTGGTCCTTTTGCAAAAGGAAGAAACTTCCTTTGGACTTGAGAATGACTCGGCCCATTTGGCCCTGGGGACATCAACTGAAGAAACAGCATGGAAAGTTATCTGGCCACCCAGCATATGCCAGCAGCATGTTCTGCCAAACTGTGGTGTGACCTACATGCCAGCATCCTCCTCTTTATGCACCGAGCTATGCTGACAGATGTTTTTCTTCCGTGAAAGGAATCCACTTCCAGATTTTGCTGTGGAGTTGTGCAGTTCTGCGTGGTGGTTGAATACTGGACTGTGCTTTTAAACCTTTTTTAGTCCTCATTTTATGTGCTGCTGTTCACAGAACTTTTCACCTTTGGCTTCTCTAAGCAAGGGGTCACTAAAATAATTATATGTTACTTGTAAAAAGCAAGCCCTTATCTACTGCAGAAACAGGAATTATTTTCAAAATACATCATTCAGTATTTTAATTCTGTGGAAAAACTGATATTATATAGAAAGACATTATTTAGAAGAAGTCTTAGAACTGAAATATTAGTCAGTAGTTTATGTGCTAATTTGAATTTACAATATAGGTAGAGAAGAGAAAATAAGACAACTTGATGATTTTGACAGGTTATCCTACAAGTCCTCCCTTCATTTCTATCCTGTCTGGTTTCTGGAGTAGCATTCAGTTTTGAATCTAATGCACCTTTCAGAAGAAGCCCTTCTGCCGCATGTTATTGGAAAAGTTGTACCTAAAGCATAGAAAAGCATAGAGTTCTGAGAAATCTCAATTTCAAGGGAAATAAACAGCAGCCCCCTTCTCCTGCTCTTCCCTTCTTCCCCTCCCTTATGTGTGAAAGGCAACTCAACTGCAGCAATTTCCTGCTATGATTAGAACAAACATTGCTCAAATTGTTTGCTATTGCGAAAATTGATGCCTTTAGATTTTTGTTGCTGGAGTTACCTGTCAGGTTCAAGGTGGTGTCGCTGACCCCATAATAATACTAATAATGCGGCAAGTTTCGCAAGTGTGAAGTGGCAATCTCAAAAGGCACGTTACTGGCCTCTCATCCAGAACCGCTGTATATGCTTGAAAAAGACCTGAATAGAAGCTTTTAGGCAGCCAATTGATAATACAGTCACATTTTTGAAAGACAGTGCTGTTTCTG